TAACCTGGGAAGAGAAACATTTAGCACATCATCTGTGTGGTGCAGTGTGACGGGGTGACGGGTGTTTATTGACCGTGCGACTGCTGATAGAAGCAGCAGGATGAACTGTGAAGTGTTCGGTCACATCTGCGTGGGGCTGAGGAAAGAACGAGCCTCGGTACCTGTCAGCGACTTTAGTGGTGGGATTGGGGCAACGGGCGTTATGGATCTCGTGGGTTGGACGATGCTGAGAGCATGTGGTCGTATCGCGGCGCCCGTAGTCAGCCCAGTAAACGACTATAACCTCTCCTTTATCTGAGGAAGAGTTCACCGTGTTAGATCAGCACCATGTTTGTACATCAATGAAACAAATCCACCTGAATCACAGAGGAACCGCCCCACTCACCACACCGAAGCGGTGCGTCGTATCCTTCACACGCTGTGCTGTGGACTGAAAGAGAAACACCGTCACAAACTGGAACAACTCAGAGAGTTTGGAAGTATTCGGATACAGACCTGCTGGGAAGCAGGCGAAGAGGGTGTCCAGGTATTTGCAGGCGCCGGGAACAGGAGTACCAAAGATTTGGATGTCTATGTCACAGGTTTTCTTTCCGTCACAGCTGTGGGGAGAGATGCAGCTCGCTGTCAGGTCACTGATCATGTTATTGTTTCAAATGTTTGTTAGCGACAGTCGTCACCTCTTCTTGATGACCTTCAGTTTGTCGTGCTGAGAGGAGTGTCCTTTATCTCCACTTGTGAGCTCGACTGACTCCACGACGATCACGCCGCTCTCTGTTTCACACAGTATGACACAAAAGCAGAGATGAGAGAGACTCAGAGCAGAGATGGGTTTACAATCGCAGGTGTCGCCCCCAGCTGGACATGGAAAGGATTTAGTCTTAAAGTTCTTTAGTGTTGGCTTTTAAATCTACAGCCATCATTTACATACAGTCTGTGTCTGCCTTACCACAGCACAGGTGCTGCACCTGGTGGCCGTCGCAGGTGATCACTCTGTTGGTGGATATGGCAGTCGCAGTGGACGGGACAAAGCGTTTGGCTCGGGTTACACCTGGAGGGAAAAGTTGGAGTTAAAAAAGCAGAGTGGGTATGAGCTCACAGCTGGTGTGTGGGGGGGAGGGAGGTCAGCCTGTTTTGACTCCATGATGAGACTCGAGGACAGCCTGGCTGTTTGCTGGGAGCAGAGACTAAACATCCGACCTTATCTGAGGCTCTCTCTCCTTCACCGATTCATTTATCTTTATTTGGTTCTTCGTCTCCTCCTGCTGTTAGCGCCACCGTGGAGTCAGCTGACTGACGGAGAGCAGAGTCGCAGCA